TTGTGCTCCGAAGGGAAAGATTGTTCCTAACACAAAACAAAATTACATCAACAATAACTTTATGAAAAAAGTGGAGATGTCTCTCCACTTTTTCATTTCTCCATTGATAACTCTCTGCAGATGGGTTTAGTTTTCTCCATTCACAAAATCCTTTTTAAATTTCTGAGAAATTGTTGGTTTTTGCTGTTGAAAATACAAACAGCAAAAACAAAACAATGAATCTTTTTTATTGCTGTACAGCAACTAATCGCGAACAAATTTTTTAACATTGGGATGAATTTTTTCATACCATTTTGTGCTGAAGTATCGCTTTCTGTTGTCAAAGTCACACAGCGTGTATAGGAAAAATTGTCTTCTTTCTTGCTTTAGCCCATGTTGAATCAAAAAGCATCTTATATTATCCGTTAGTTTAGGCCATGTTGCTGGATCCCTGTATTGAAAGTTTTATCTTAAGGATAGCGGAATATCTGATATTTCTGAATAAAGTTCATTGTAATCCATTTCACCCGGTCAGAAAGCTGGAAATTTCCATACTCTCTTGTTATTTCTGAAACATTTATGCAAAATTCTTTTTGACTTTGGTTAATAAAAATCTCCTCTTCAATTAATTCCAAGTTATGATCTGAACTTAAGTCATTAATTTGAACTGTTTGAAAAACTTTATCTGTTTAACTTTTATTAACTTTAATACTAATATCCTCTGAAATAATTTGTTTGTCCGCTGCAGAGTTAGTTACCAACCACTTCTTGAAACAATTTTGTAGTTTCTCATCACTTTCAAAGCGCTGATTTCTTTTCTTCTTAAATTGAGCACCAGATTATTTTTTGGTGCGATTCATTATAGAAACTTAATGTTCACTATAGTTGATAGACATATATCGTCGCTGCAAAACAAGACTATCTTAAGTCCATTTTTGCTGTTCTGAGAAAAACGCATTTAAAGTTTTTAATTCATCACTGCGTTTGATCTTCCCCATTAAACTAAATTGTTTTTAAAATGCTTATAGAATATGTTATTATTTTTCATAATATAACAAATAAAAAATAAAATTTTAAGTTTATAAGAAGCAACAAGTTTATAAGAAGCAAATGGACTTGAAAAGATAGTCTTAAAACTATATAAAATATGTCAAAATTCTACAAATTAAATTGCCGCTGCAAAACAAGACAATGTTAAATCCGTTTTGCTGTTCTGAGAAAAAGACAATTAAAGTTTTAAATTTAATCACTGCTTCTGATTTTTTTAAATACTATTATTTTTAAATCTACTTGTTTTTAGTTATTTATTTTATGTGTTAAGTATTTTAAACCAAAAATGTTTTTTTTTTTCTTGCTAAAAAATGAACTTAAGATAGTTTTGTTGTACAGCAACGATGTCTCTTAATTATTTTTTTGAAGACATAAGATATTTGAGTTTTACTCATAGTTGCAAAAGTTGAATCATTTTTGGTTCCATACTTTGTGAGATGACTTTTATGCACCTAAAGAGTATTTTAAACCAAAAAAGTCAACTTTGTCAAAAAAAGACTTAAGATTTTGTTTTGCAGCGACGATATGTTTTAATTAAGTTTTGAAACCCAATAACGCACCCTCCCAAGTTTGGCGCCTCGGGCCGCGGCCCGGCTGACCCCGCCCTTGGTACGGGCCTGCTTTTTAATTTCGGACGAACGGATAAACTTTTTATGGAGACAACAATTCAATTCATTAACCTAAGTTAGGCTACCGTTTCAGTAATACAGAATAAGGAACCAATAACTTCCAATAGATAAAAATAAAAATAATATAAAACAACACTGGACATTGTTAACAATCTAAATCGTCAAGAAACTCATGCTATTATTTCATATCATCTCAAAAGTTTCCGACTTAAAGAATAATTTCAAAATCTTATTATAATAAATGAAATAATATGTTTTATATTTTATTTATTAATTTATGTTATTTTCTTCATTATAGAACAATAAACCATTAAATAAAAGACTTGAAAAAGCTAATGCAGAAATACAATCAAAAAATAAAACATAATTCTACATATAAAGGTAAAAGTTCTCAAAAATTTGAAAACCGATTATTATTTAAAATCTAATACACTAACCATTAATAAAATAATCCTTTATAATTGAAATACCTTTTATTATTGGAATGTACAATGTATTATTTGATATTACAACTTCATATTTACTGTTGTGTATTAAAATATTAAAAGCACTGGTTATTAAGTTTTAGATAAAATAACTAAATTTTTTTTTTCTAATTTGTCTTCATGCATTGGTAGTTATAGGTTATATTTACTGGTTTCCAAAAGCACATGTAATATTTTTCGTTACATGAATAGCATTTTAAGTGACACTTTTTAAAAAAGCTGACCTTCATTGAGATTATCTTAATTATTAAAAAAGATTTCCCAAAATATTTTTCAAGAATGGACATCCTCAAATTGATATGCATATAGACTGTAAACAATTTATAGATATAGATATAGATAAAGATACAGACTGTAAACAATTTAAGGTTCAATCTGCAATTTTTAATTTTAGCACTTTTGATTTTTGTCATTACAAAAATCCACAAACAGGAAAAGTATTATGTTATTTGATACATAATTGTATTTAAGCATGTGGAAGTTGTCTTTTTTTTAGCAGTATTTCTATATCTATATTATTTAATATCAGATAGTGAAAAGTGAATGTTACGTTATGCTTTCAAACTTTTTCCTGTAAACAACAAAAAAATCATCAGTTATTTTGATTTCTTTTGTTTAGAGATGCATCTGACTTTTGTAAAACTTTTTTAAAATCAGTATATTCAATAGGATCAGCAGCGTATATATTCTTAAAGTTAATATTTATTTCTGTTGAATCTCTTTGTATATGTTACTAAATATCGTAAATAGATTGTAAAGGTAGAAAATTGGTTTCTTTGCTTCAACACACTCCTTGTTATTAATTATATAATAATTTTAGTATAACAATTCTTTTAGTACATTTTGTAGCAGTTAATAAAGATGGCTCCGAAATCTCATACGCCAAAACCACCCCTTATAAAAGTCGGTGAAAAAGAAAACTCAGTGGCGGATTGGGACTTCTTGGGGCCCGGGGCTATTTTTATTTTTGAAGGCCATTTTAAAAAGATCCTCTAAAATTTTTGGGGGCCCCTAAATTTGCGGGGCCCGGGGCTATAGCCCACCTTGCCCCCGCTTGATCCGGTACTGAGAAAACTGATCTTGAAAAGAAAAAAATTACTTTCAACATAAATTCCTTTGATTATTTAGACGAAATTTTGTCTGACTTTTTTCCCCATGAAGTTTGGGAAATCATTGGGTATTTTTTTATATTTTTAAATAACTATAGTTTACAATACAATAAATATGCTTAAAATAAAATTTATTGAATAAGTTTAACCGCATTGTAAACTATAGTTACTTAAAAATATAAAAAAATGCTAATGACTTTCCAAAGTTCACGGAAAAAAAAAGTCAGACGAATTATCGTCAATTGATTATTATGAAAATCAAAGTTCGAGAAAATTTTTTAATGGTTTATTTGAAACTGGAACAATATCTTTTATTAATTGCCCGACTAGAATCACAAGTCATTCATCATCATTAATTGATAACATTTTAACAACCGATTTTTTAAATAAGTTGAATTATAAAAACCGATGTTTCCGATCACTTCCCGATTTTTTTTTCTATATGTGTTAATTTAAAAAAGAGAAGCACTGAAAGGTTTTAACAAAAAAACGGCTTATCAACAATAATAATTTAAATTCTCTCAGAGAACAATTATCACTTATATTAACTTTAATGATAATATCAACATAACCTACGACAATTTTTTCAAAACTTTTTACCAAGTGTATGATTCCAATTTTCCTTTAATTGAAATAGTTTTAAGCGATTTAAGAAATGTCATCTCCCTGGATAACTAAAAGTCTCAGAAAATTATCAAAGATTAAGCAGAAGCTATATATTAAGTACCTATAATCAAAACCAGAAAAATATAAACAAAGTTATAAAACTTATAAAAACTTATTTGAAAAGCTTCGCAAAAATGCAAAAAAAAACTACTATTCAAACTTGCTTAATAAATATAAGCATAACTTAAAACGCGTCTGGCAAATCATGAAGGAGGTGTCTGTAAAACTTAAACTAAATAAAAATTTACTGCCAAATTTTATACAAATTTACAACAAATTAATAAATGACTCAAATGATATTGCATTTGAATTTAACAAGTTTTTCTCCACTATCGGGACAAAATTAAGCGATAGTATTTTATTCATTAAAGATAAATCTGTTGATGAGTTGAAAACATCAACAAGCTTTAACCTAAATTTTACTGAGTTAACTTTCAATGAATTTGAGGTTGCTTTTAAGTCATTAAAACGAAATAAAGCTACTGGGTATGATGATATTTACACAAATATTGTGATTGATTCCTACGATAAAAACGATATTATAATTATACTCTTTATAAAATCTTCAGAGCATCCGTTGCACAAGGGTCTTTTCCAAAATAAAATAAAAATAGCGAAAGTAACTCCAATCTTCAAGACAGGGGATCGTACAAATATAAAAAATTATTGCCCTATTTTAGCTCTTCTAGCTTTTTCAAAAATTTTAGAAAGAATAATGTACAACAGAATCTACTCTTACCTTGTTGAAAATGAAATTCTATACGAAAACCAATTTGGTTTTAAAAAAAATAATTCAACCGAGCAATACCGTCAATCATCAAATCCTGTTAAAAAAACTAATATCATATAGTATTAAAGATAAAACCCTATTATGGTTTGAAAGTTATCTTACTAACCGTAAACAGTTTGTTTACAATAAAGATTCTATATCTCATCTATTAATGAATATAACATGTGGTGTTCCACAAGGATCCATACTTGGTCCTCTTATTTTTTTAATATATCAGGTAACCAATTAAGTTTGTGCGGTTTCGTAGGTCCATAAATAAATACACAAAAAAACGGCTTTAGTAAAGTTTATTTTAAAAATTGTCTCCTTCAGCAAGAATGACTTTTTCCCTTTGTGAAACAAGCTTGTATATTCCATTTTTATTAAAGTCTTGAGTTTGGGAGCTAAAAATGTGATTTAACTCATTTTCGAGATCTTCTCTATTTTGAAACTGTCGATTCCTCATATGATTATCTAGGGCCAAAAACAGGTAATAGTCGCTTGGGGCAAGGTCTGGTGAATACGAAGGGTGAGGTAGAATCTCCCATTGTAAACGTGCTAGAGTTTCCCGCGTGATTTTTGCGGTGTGCGGTCTAGCGTTGTCCTGGTGGAATACAACACCTTTTCTGTTCGCTAAAGCTGCTTGTTTTTGGTGAAGAACAACCGAAACTCTGTTCAATTGGGCTGAGTATATCTCAGCACTAATGGTTTGTCCACTTGGTAGCAACTCATAATGAACGATACCTGCTTTAGTCCACCATATACACAATAAAACCTTTTGTTGGTGAATACGTGGTTTAGGAGTCTTCGGTACTGGATCACTACTGGCTAACCAATGATATGTTATTTTTTTGTTGCAGTACATAATCCATTTTTCGTCGCACGTCAACATCCGGTCAAAAAATGGGACTTAATTGTGGCGGGATTGCAATGAAGAACAGATGGTTAAGTGCTGTAGCTTGTTTGTTTCACTCAACTTATAAGGTACCCATTTGCCTAACTTCCAACGTTTTCCAAGTTGGTGCAAATGTGAACGAATAGTTTCATCACTCACATGAAATCTTAAGGCAAGGTCCTGACATGTTTGGCTGGAGTCCTGCTTGATTGCTAGCTAGATATCCTCATTGTTGACGGTGGATGATCTTCCAGATCTTGGTTCATCTTCAAGGTTTTTATTTCCAGAAGAAAATTTTTTTAACCACTTTTGACCCGTCCGTTCTGCTATGGTACCTTCCCCAAAAGCAGCGCATATCTTACGACAAGCTTATGCAGCTTTGGTGCCAAGTTTAAACTCATACAGTAAACAGGCGCGAATTATCGCATTTGAAACACAGCCATACTCAACTTTAGAATTTTAAATTTAAATAGCACTAATAAAACTTATGAAACACACCGATTGATTCTCCTTGTTTCCCTACCACAACCATTATCTTTTAATACTTTTATTAGTAAATAAGAATTAGGAAAAACCGCACGAACTTTATTGGTTACCTGATACATAAATGATCTTCATAAATAGTCAAATTTAACAACAATAAATTTTGCAGATGACACAAACTTGTTTTTGTCTCATAAAGATATTAATATGCTTTTTAATAATATGACAAATGAATTAAAAAAAGTTTCTGTTTGGTTTATTATTTATTTATTTTGTATATTATTTGGTGTAACATTTTATCTTTTTTAACATTATATCTTGGTTTTTAAATATTTTTGCATAAAGGTGTATTATTATTATTTCACAGACATTGTATTTTTATTAAATATTAACTGAATATTGTAAAGGGCTTCATGGCAAGATCCTCATGATCTTCTAGAAATCCTGTCGTTACTAATGTAAAAATTGTAAAATCTATTTAGTTATTGTAATATTTAACGGCAAAATATTTAAAAAAAAAAAAAATATGCGAATCCGCTCAAAACGTCTTTAGCAAGTCCGCGCTTTTAAAAAACACTTATGTGAAAAACTCGTTAAAAAAAAAGGTATTTAAAATAGGTTTTTCCAAAATAATAATCACTTTAAATTAAGTAAAAACTTCAAATCTAATTGCAGTAACATTTTTTTATTATTATTTAGGTTGGAGTTTTTTTACATTTTTTTTTATTTGTGAAATATTTTTCAAAAAAAATTCTTACTTTTAAATCTCTACAATATCACTTATTTTTGTATTTATTTTATATAAAAATTTTGCCGTTCGAAAAAACATATTTTTATAAAAATTTTGCCGTTCGAAAAAACATATTGAATAGTAATTAAAAAAGGCAACCGAGAAAAAGTAAGAACTTGGAGTAAAATTATTTTATTTTGAAGACTCAAACATTATTTTGAAAAGTTCTATTTTTAGATTTCTTTTCAAACTATTTAAAGTCGATTTATGACCAAACTATTCACATAGTTAAAAAAAAAAAACAACAACAACAAAACAAAATATTTTCATAAATAATCTTTTTTGTCTCTTGATTCTAATATAAGTTACAAACACGATCATTGGAAAGTTAAAAGAAAACTTATTCTTCTTTGAGCGAAATTATGAACGTTTTTAACAACATCTCGTACAACTTTGAATATTAAAAGATTTCGATTTATATAAACTTTTTACATAAAATATATTTTAGGAGCTAATATATATATATATATATATATATATATATATATATATATATATATATATATATATATATATATATATATATATATATATATATATATATATTATTAAAAATATATTTTAGGAGCTATTTTGATCAGATTTGTTAAAAATTACGAACTTTATAGATCTGCCCTTAAGTACATTAAGAATCAGAGCGATCTTTTTCGCGCGGTTTTTACGTCACTTAAAATACCCAGGGTACAAAGAAATCGAAAACTCTTCTTCATTCACCGCGGTATACTAGTATTTCAACGACATTTTATTACCGGCTACGCGGAGTATGAGTACCGAATTGCTTAAGTGTAGAAAAATGACATGCCAAAATGTGCAAATATATTTATTATAAATACAAAAAATATTATCATTAAATACTATTAATACTTTTATAGCATTAAGTGATTACCAGTATTTAATAATAATAATGAAAATCAACAAAACAAATATAAAATTATTAGTTACAATAATGAAATGTGAAAATTTCATAAATAAGCCTTATAAATAAGTCTTATAAATATTGAAATCATATTGATATAATTAATCGAGTAAAATATTTCCACGGACTAAAAAATTTCTTATTTAAAAATTTAACTAAAAATATCAAATATCTTCTCAGCAATACCAATAAAATAAATCATTTGGGCGATTCCAAATAAAGGGGCCACGACGACCATACGTGGCACGGCTCCTTTAAAGAAAGCTGGAATGCCCTCGTTTTTGTATATCTTAGCGGCGGTATCAAGAAACCCATTATAAGTTGCTTCTCCCTCGGCTCTTTTTAACACTTGGAGTCGTGTTTTGATAACATCAAGAGGAGTCACGGTTCCTGCACTAACCATACCAGCAAATAAACCACAGATAAGAGTGTGGACTAGAGGGGGTCGACTTCCATCTGAAGCAAATCCCTTTAAGATAATAGTTAAATAAGACAATATGTAACAAACAAAAATAGTTGAAAACTTGTATGACTTTTACCTGTAATGTTCCATTGTAATGTTGCGTTACAGGTACAATTATTATCATAATAATTGTCGTTTTATTTAAAAATCTTTTATGTTTACTATATGTTTTAACATTAAAATAGTAGTTATATTAATAAACCTATCATTAACTAGTTATTTTAGCAAATATTACACTTTACAATGAATTAAAAACCTTGTAATCGTTAAATATAGTAAGAGGGCATCCATAAAGTATGTACGCAGTAAAACCACAGATTTAGGACCCCTTCCTTACCCCCTGTATGCTTATGTATGCATTTAACAACCCCCTTTTTCTGCGCAGGTACGCATTTTTATTACAAAATCAACCCCTTTCTTTACCAACGTATAAATTTTTCAAAACCTAAAAAATAGAAAAACATTTAGTTAATTCGACATATCGCGGTTACATAAAATTCATTTTTTAAACTCGTAAAACTTAATGTTTTTGATAAAAAAAAACAAATTTTATGAAGTGATACAGAACGAGAGACAGTCAAACCGCCTACGTCTTAACCCCCTCCTCTCTCCCTTTTGTGCATTTGTACGTATGAAAGACGACTAAAGAGGTTTGCCAATAAGGTTAGATTTACAAAAGATACAACTTCTTTTTGTTAAACTTATGTAAACTTCACACTCCATTTGTAAATGAATCATAAAAACATACAATACAGCTTCTATCTTTTTATAATTATTATTTATTAATATTATATACTTGTTTTTTTTTAACTTTAATATTTGTTTAACTGCAAAATTTCAATGTGAATTTTTAAATCATTATAAAATCTGAAAAAAATATTTCAGAATATGACCAAAAAAGTTGCATTCAGAATTTGATGAAATAAAATATGAAAACTGCTCTAAAGATAACTTAAACTAAAAACGTTATTTATTAAAAAATCCTTTTTCCCATAATGCACAAATTTATTACAAAATCCTTCTAATGCACAAATTTATTACAAAATCCTTCTTCCCCTAATGCACAAATTTATTACAAAATCCTTCTTCCCCTAATGCACAAATTTATTACAAAATCCTTCTTCCCCTAATGCACAAATTTATTACAAAATCCTTCTTCCCCTAATGCACAAATTTATTACGAAATCCTTCTTTCCCTAATGCACAAATTTATTACAAAATCCTTATTCCCCTAATGCACAAATTTATTACAAAATCCTTCTTCCCCTAATGCACAAATTTATTACAAAATCCTTCTTCCCCTAATGCACAAATTTATTACAAAATCCTTCTTCCCCTAATGCACAAATTTATTACAAAATCCTTCTTCCCCTAATGCACAAATTTATTACAAAATCCTTCTTCCCCTAATGCACAAATTTATTACAAAATCCTTCTTCCCCTAATGCACAAATTTATTACAAAATCCTTCTTCCCCTAATGCACAAATTTTTCAAAACATTAAAAACAAAAAAAAAAATTAGTTAATTCGACTCATCTACAAAAATCTAAAAAATAGAAACCAAGTTTTACAATAGTCAAGTCTTATCTTTAGGGTAGACAACACCCCCTTTCCCCTTCTTTTATGATTTTGTTTTGGATTTGTATAGTTTTGAGTAAATCCCCTACCCACTATACCTGCATACGTAATTTATGGAAGATCCCTTAAGTTATCTTAACTTAAGATTTTTCACAGGGTTCCCACTATTAAAACTGAGGCTAAAAGTAAGGATTTTAAGGAGATATTTTCCGAATATTTAAGGAGATTTGGTCTTAAACGACAATTTTTTGAAAGAAAAAGTAAGAAGAATTAAAGAGAAAAAAATTACATTAAAAAAAAGAATCTTATGTTTTTTAATAAATTTTAAATATAAACAGAAAAATTATTATAAATTAATATATTACTATGTTACTTCTTAATAAGAAATTATATATATATATATATATATATATATATATATATATATATATATATATATATATATATATATATATATATATATATACATATATATACATATATATACATATATATATATATATATATGACTATATATATATATATATATATATATATATATATATATATATATATATATATATATATATATATATATATATATATATATATATATATATATATATATATATATATATATATATATATATATATATATACACACATATATATATACAGTGGTGGATTAAGGCTTCTTGGGGCTATTTTTTGGAGGCCTTTTTATGGGTTAGAGCCTAAAAATGACTAGAAAAAAAAAAATTCTAAAATTTTTAGAGGCCCCTAAATTTGCGGGGCCTGGGGCTATAACCCCCCTTTATCCGGCACTATATATATATATATATATATATATATATATATATATATATATATATATATATATATATATATATATATATATATATATATATATATAAATATATATATATATATATATATATATATATATATATATATATGTATATATATATATATATATATATATATATATATACATATATATATATATATATATATATATATATAATTTTTTATTAAACAATTTTAAAATGTATTCTACAAAATAGAGTGCTAAATGTTCTTAAAAGAACAGAGCCATTATAAAATAGTAGAAAATCACTTAGCAAAAATTTTTTTCATTTAAAATGAATTTTTTTTTTTCATTTCAATAAAAAAAAATTTTAGCTAAGTGATTTTCTACTACTTAACAAAATTTTTCACATAGTTGTAATCTTTCATCTTCATCCAGTGCTCGACAGGCAATTGCATCCAATCAACCTGATTAGCAGTCATCTTGATTAAGTAAAATAGCAGCCAGGAACGTGGACCAAATAAAGAGACAAAGGAAGGGATGTTGTTACCATCAACATTCGGGAAAGACGGTTTTCCAGGCTTCATTTCTTCACTTCTTTGGGTGTCATACAACTTCAATGCCACAGCAGATCTTTCAATAGACGAAATGTCCTCATCAAACATCACGAAGATGACTCTTCAGTTAAATACCAAAGGTGTCTGTTGCAATACTGAATGGCTGCATCAGAAGCAATTTTTGTCTGTATCACAGTACCACTGCATATTGGTAATGTACTGACGATCAACTTTCGGTGAAATAACTGAGATGTGACTTTGTAAAAAAGCCTTTGCATGAAAGAATGCGATAGAATTAGCCATTCTTTTCAATTTATGCCGTTGATGCGGGTCAAGATGCAATTTGTTGATCCAACATGACAAGTTTTAAGATGTAAAGCTCATTGTGCATAAATCTTGCATGATAATTATACTTTTAAGAGAAAAAATTATACTTTTGTGAGAGATTTTTTAAATTTCTCCTGTAAATAGTTTTAGGGGAGTGTGGGCATTAGCAAGAACTTTAGCTCTCGCTAAAGCACTTCTAAATACACACTCCCGCCAAGGCCTATATATATATATATATATATATATATATATATATATATATATATATATATATATATATATATATATATATATATATATATATATATATATATATATATATATATAATAACCATGCAAGTCTTTTGCTGGTATTTTAGAACAAACATTCAAACAGTTTAGTGACCTTAAAAATGTGCAGTGGATTGTAATCTTTGATCAAGCTGTTAATAATTAAAGAAAACTTTATGGCTCGAATTGTGTGTGTATATATATATATATATATATATATATATATATATATATATATATATATATATATATATATATATATATATATATATATATATATATATATATATATATATATATATGTATGTATGTATGTATGTATGTATGTACCAGGTATACCGGTATGAAGTGAGCGTCAAGATACAAATGTCTCGATATAGAACATTTGTTGTGAACGAGTCTTTATTTTTATTTGTTTGTTTGCTATGACATCTGTGAAACATATTTAGTATACATCAAGTCATTGAACAGACAACATCATATTTTTTCATCGTGTTAAAAATGTCGAATTTTGTACCGGAAAGTGATGATTTGCGAAAAGCACTAATTTTTTGTTTTCATTTGAAGAAAAGTGCTGCAGAGTCGCATCGAATGCTTGTCGAGGCATATGGTGATCATGCTCTATCAGAAGCAACATGCAAAAGATGGTTTCAACGGTTCAGAAATAATGATTTTGATGTGAGAAATGAAGAATGTGGAAGACCACCAAAAAAGTTTGAAGACGCCGAATTGCAAACGATATTGGATGGAGATGACACTTTGAGTCAAAAGCAAATGGCAGAAATGTTAAATGTTGCACAACAAACAATTTCTGACTGTTTAGAAGCTATGGGAAAGATCCAAAAGTGTGGAAAATGGGTGCCACATGAATTGAATGAAAGACAGATGGAAAACCGAAAAAACACTTGTGAAATTTTGCTTCGAAGACACGAAAGAAAATCGGTTTTGCATCGGATTGTTACTGGCGATGAAAAATGGATTTATTTTAAGAATCCTAAACGGAAAAAATCATGGGTTAATCTGGGACAACCATCAACATCGACTGCAAAACCAGATCGATTCGGCAAGAAGACAATGCTGTGTGTTTGGTGGGACCAGAAAGGTGTGGTGTTCCACGAGCTCCTAAAACCTGGTGAAACCATCAATACTGATCGCTACCGACAACAAATGATCAATTTGAACCATGCATTGATCGAGAAACGACCAGAATGGGCCAGAAGACACGGCAAGGTAATTTTGCTCCATGACAATGCACCTGCACACAAAGCAAAACCGGTTCAGGATACAATCAAAACACTTGGCTGGGAGCTGCTACCCCACCCGCCGTATTCACCAGACTTGGCTCCTTCCGACTACCATTTGTTTTCATCGATGGGACACGCATTGGCTGAGCAGCACTTTGATTCCTATGAGGAGGTCAAAAATTGGGTGTCTGGTTGGTTTGCTTTAAAAAACAAACAATTTTATTGGCGTGGTATCCACAAATTGCCAGAAAGGTGGTCAAAATGTGTAGAAAACAATGGCCAATACTTTGAATAAAATGTTTTATACTTTCCCATTAATAATTAGTGTTTTATTTTCACAAAAAACGCTCATTTCATACCGGTATACCTGGTATGTATGTATGTATGTATGTATGTATGTATGTATGTATGTATGTATGTATGTATGTATGTATGTATGTATGTATGCATGTATGTATGTATTTATGTATGTATGTATGTATGTATGTATGTATGTATGCATGCGTGTATGTATGTATGTATGTATGTATGTATGTATGTATGTATGTATGTATGTATGTATATATATATATATATATATATATATATATATATATATATATATATATATATATATATATATATATATATATATATATATATATATAATAATAATAACCATGCAAGTCTTTTGCTGGTATTTTAGAACAAACATTCAAACAGTTTAGTGACCTTAAAAATGTGCAGTGAATTGTAGTCTTTGATCAAGCTGTTAATAATTAAAGAAAACTTTATGGCTCGAATTGTACACTTAGAAAAAATTAAATGATAAATGTCAATCAAATGATAAATGCAGTTGATATCTGCAGAACATTATTTTTAAATAAAAAATATCACCAAATTTCTCATCTGTTTTTAACATTTATCATTAAAGTATACAAGTTAAATTTCTGTTTGCAGTTGCAGTAAAAGCTTTTGTGCTCTCACATAAACCTTTACTATTATTATTTTGTTCAAACTATTCACCAACAAATAGTATACAATAAAATAAAAATAACAATAAATTAAGAAATTTAACTTGTATACTAACTAGTAATTATTTGATAATAAATAACTTAATGATAAGTAAGTTATTTAATGATAAATAAATTTAAAAAACAGATGAGAAATTTGGTGATATTTTTTATTTAAAAATAGTGTTCTGCAGATATCACCTAGAAGTCATTTGAAAAATCTAACATTAATTGCAACAACTTATAATGAGGATTTCGATTGATGTAAAATGTAACTGACAACTGAAATGAAGTTTCCACAAATAAAAATACTAACAAGTTAGAATACAGGCAGTATCTGTAAGTATATAAAAGATTACAACAACAACTACAACAACTACAATATATTTTAGTACTAGCACAAATATATTCTTTAACACACATTTTATTTTCTGAAACACTTTAGTGTTTTATTTTTTCACATTTAATTTGCACCTTATTATGTAATCAATTATTTTTATTAAAGGGAACCTTATTAACTTTTTTTTGAAAATTACCACAGTTATCAATACTTTTCTCTAATATTATCAGCCAAATATTTCTTAACAAGTGTTAAAATTAGTCATGCATTATAAGTAATCAAAAAAATTAAGTAAAAAATCAATACGGGAAAAAGCAGATTTTATAAATGTCATATGATAGCATTACTTAAAGTAACTACTGTCATAAAATAACTATAGACTTTAAATTATGATTGTTAATTTTTGATTAAGAAACTTATGAAAAAACTAAATAAAATAAAGTTAGAAAAATGAATATATATAACAATAAATTAAAGAAATTGGTTAAACCAATAATAAAGAAGGTACTAACTACATTAACTTATTTAGCAAAACAATTTAAGATCAATTTTGAATTTAATCAATTATAACTTAATTAATTTTGAATTTAACAAAATTAAAGCTAATAAAATAAATTTAAAGAAATAAAATTAATAAAATTACCTTTGAATTTAAGTATGCAAACAATGGAAAATATAAGCAAGAGAATGGAACGTCCCTGAAATGACATTAAATGGTTACTAATTTGATTTAATAACTTGTTAATAATAATTAATAATAATAATTTTTTAAAAAAATTATTTTTTCTGAATAATGTAACCCTCAGAATTAGGGTCTGCATTTATTGAGGTCAGTAATTTATTACCGACTTTATTTCCCTAATTCCAAGGGTTGATAATGTAAATCAAATAAATTATTTAAATCAATTGTAAATAAAATGGCTTAAGAAAAAAACAACATGAAAACGAAAAGTAAACTTTCACTGTCATAATCAAGATTCAAACCAATTTTTTTTTCATTACATCAAATCAATAAATGATTGATTTGAACAGACATTTAGTTGTTTTATCAGTTTTATTTAGTTTCTGTACTAGCATAGTGGGTCAAGTAAACAACTTAATAATGTTCACTCAAATGAAGATGTTAAACTCATCCTATATTGAGAAGGTAAGATTTTGAGGCAAGGAAATCATTTGTCAAAAATTGAGTTTTTTTAATTTTCAAAAATTCAATCAACATTCTGTTGATACATTATGATGCAGGTGTTTAACTGCGCATTATTGTATTTATGTTATAAATAAAATTTTTATACTTGCATAAAAAAAAAAAAAAAAAAATTATCAATATAAACATTTTTGTTGTCACAAATTGCTTAAATTATTTCATTATGTCATCTTTAAATAAGAAAATTATACTAAGAAAACCCTAACCAAATAACACAAGTGTCGAACTACATTAAACTTAAAAAACTAACAACAAAATCCCACATTCAAACTAATGTTTCCCTCAAAACAAACTGTTGTTGCATTCTTGCAGTAAAAAAATTATCAAAACAAAAGCATACAACAACAACAAAAAATAAAACAAGGAACAAAACAAAGCAACAAAAATTTTAGACAACAGCTAAAAAGCAAGTAATTTGGCTTTTTCTGAAAGAAAAAAAAAACTCTTACAGTGTGAAACTCAAAATTTTTTTTTTATGAGGCAACAGCAATAGATTTGCTGCTTGCATTTTATCTTGAAACACAAACATTTTAGATTTTAGTTTTTTACACAAATAGCTAGCTAGCTTGAAATTCTATATTCAAGTGCCAAATGTCACATAGGACAAATCTTTTAAGGGGAAGATTCATGAGTTCTACAATAATTAACTTGCAAACGGAAAGCATGAATATATAATGGCAAATGAATTATATTTATTACCTCAAAAACTTAAAGATCTCGACAAATTTAGTAGCTGAAACTTATTATCTTAATTCTGTAAAATATCAATTTTTAAGCTTAAATCATAGTTGTTGCTGCAAACATTTTTTCAAGTCAAGTTTTTTTTAACAAAAAAAAAAAAAAAAAAGTTATCATGCCATATATGGCATAAAAGTCCAAGTTTGAGTCCAAAATTATATATAATGGCATAAAATATGATGCTTAAATTGAGTCCATGCTAGTAGCTTCAAATTGTGTCCATGCTAGAAGCTTTCAGCTTAATATTAGTTTATGCACAATCAAAATAAAACATTATTTGTCAAAAAAAGTATTATCATTTTTATAATTCTTAGTTGCAGATTTAAAAAAAGTTCTTCAAAGATGAACAGTTTCAACTTTTTGTTAAACTTTTTATTTTTAACAGTATGAAACTTTATATCTACCAATTCTATCTATAAAAACTTTATATCTACCAATTCTATCAGTTAATTTATAATCTACCAATCCTATCAATTGGTAGTGGTAATACAAAAGATAAGTGACAAACTCATTTTTTTCAAGTTTACTTGTGAATATTTTAAAAAGACATGACTTAATCTCTACAATTCTGAATTTCTATTTCAAAAGTCAAACCAAAATCTAAGAAACCTGTTTTTGTAATTGAAAAAAATTCTTGATTTCTTACAACTGTGTTATTTTTTTAGTTGCAGTATGTTTTTTTAAATCATCTCAAACAAATACTTTTTCTAGTAAGTAGACCATCCAACTAAAATATTTGATTATTTGAAATTCGAATATGTTTACATGTTTTTTGACTATTTGATATTCAAATATTTTTTTTGAAATATTCAAACAATTTTTAAAATGAAAAGACTAAACTTTAAAATGAAAAGAAAAAAGAGAAGAGCAAAATATAACGTAAATATTAGAATTAAAAAAAAAAAAATGAACATTTTCACAAAGGCTAGATGAAGAGAAACAAAAATTTTTGATATGGTTTTTATTTTATGTGGAATTATTTAGCTGGTATTTAAAACACAGTCTGTTATTTAAGTTGCTTATAAATGTTTGTAAACTTTTATAGTTTACTAGTTTTAATCTTAATAGTTGTAAATTTTAATAGTTTAATATAGTTACATAGTCATAATCAATACTTGAAATTGTTTCATAAATTTAATTTATTTTTTAGAAAATAGTAAAAAATTTGTCATTGCATAATAAAAGGTGGAATTTAAAATTTGTTGGATTTTCTCACATAATTACATCTACAGTATTTTTTTGTGGGATTTTCTTACATAATTACATCTACAGTATTTTTTTTGTGGGATTTTCTTACATAATTACATCTACAGTATTTTTAGTTTTAACCATGTCAAAAAATACGAGGTATGGAAGTTTTTTTAGAAAAAATGAAAAAAAAATTGGTAAGCCACATGTGGTGCAACACAAACATAAAATGGAAAATTTCAACCACTGCTATGATTAACCATTTGAAGCTATGACATAACATATTGATGTCTAAATCAGGATCAAGTGAAAATTAAGGAGTAAATAATATTCCTAAAAACAAAAATACAAAAAAAAAAAAAAAAAAAATTCCTGTTTGGCAAATTGTTAAAAAAAAAATCTTTAAATGAAATATTGTCAAAAGTTGCAGTTGTTGATGGAATGGTGATCACAGCAATGTGTAAATCTCAAACTATTGCTGGTTATGAGCAACAAAAAGGATATAAAATTCCAAAAAATCAACAGCTTTTATAAGAAAAATGTAATTAACTTCGTAAAAATTATGAAAATTAAAAAATGCAAAGCGAATGGACAGATTGCACAATTTTATGTCATGTAAACGTATTAGTTCATGAGCTTGGAATAGACGTAAATACAATTGAATGCTATGTTCTGGGTTAGACAGAAATAATCAAGCAAGCAAATGCAGAAAAATGTTATTGCATCAACTAACGATGCAGCAGTAACAAAAAAATATGGTAAACTGTTAGGTGTTTTAATGAAAAAATATGTCAATCTGTTAGGTGCAATGAAAAAATATGTCAATCTGTTAGGTATTTTAAATCAACTTTGCCATAATCACGCGCTGCATTTAGGTGTGATGGATTGATTTAATATACCAAAAAATTATATTCTCGATGAAATGTTTGACGACATTGAATATTGGTGGTTGATGATATGGAAGAAGAAATAGAAGAAGATTCAACAGAAGATCAGTACTTTAAGTGCAGTTTAGATTTTTAGTGTAGAAAATGAGTATATTATGACATTAAATAATGACTTTGATCGAATTTTAAAATTATCTCCAAATTTAAGAGGTGTTATAAGAATGTTTAAAAAATTGGCTACAAAGAATTCTATATTGATTGGCTACAAAGCATTTTATTTTGATTAACTACAAAGCATTCTATTTTGCAACAAAATATAACTAAAATAAAAGGGAAAAAACTCAAGTTAAAATTAGACATAAAAACTTGATGGAATTCCTTAAGTGCAATGATGCAACGATTTTCAATTCTATCCAAATGTATCAACAAACCTATAATCAAATTGAATTTTGATCCCATTTTAGAAAATGATATTTTTGTGCTACAAAACCTTGTTGATGTTCTTGCAACAGTTGAAACTGCCATTACTGAATTGAGTAAAAATGATGCAAAGCTTGTAACAGCTGAAGGAGTTTACAAAATTTAGTTTGAAAAGTTGCAACCAATGCAAACTAGTATAGCCAAAAAACTGATACACGCTATCAAAAAAACGACTCTGATAATTTATCTACAGAGGGCAAATATACCAAGTTCTAACGATAATTTTAAATATTCTTCAAAAAATGCGGCAATTTCATTTGCTGCTAAAACTATGGAACAAATACACCCACAAATGATTATGGATAAGTATGTCAATATAAATAATGATTCTAACTCTTCTTCACCTGATGCAAATGATTGAATAGAAATAACATTATAAGTTAGATCACAAAAAGAACTGCAAAAAGTACTCCAAAATGAAATAAGTTCTATTTCAGATCCAGAAAAAAACACAAATTGTTGCCAAATTGTTAAATATATTGAAGAAAGAATTTCGTCAATTAGGTTCTTTCAAAAAATGATCAACAACCTTGGATAATTTGTATCACATTTTAATAACAATTTGCCTAACCTCAACAGCTTCTAAAGAAGTATTCTCAACAGCTTCTAAAGAAGTATTCTCAATAGCTTCTAAAGAAGTATTCTCAGCTTTTATTTTTAAAATATATGTTTTTAGAGATAAAATATTTAAAAGAATAATAGAATCATTCAAAATTAATTATTATAAGTTTTTTTATTGAATTATTATTATTATTATTCATTTTTGTTAATACATCATTTTACTTTTGATAAACTATTCAGGCATTCAAATATTTTCATATTTTTTTATTCAATATTCTAATAGTTGAAAAGTTTGAGAAGTTGGATGGCCTACTATTTGAACTAAAAGTCAACATTTTAGAGTATTTGCACAAAAAATTACCCATATGAGAACTATATGTTTACAATATTTACTTGTGCAAAGATTTTTTATTAACTTATGAAAAATTATCTAGAAAAGTATTGCCATATCAAAAGTTTGAAACAAATGTTTTGTATCTAAAATAAAAAAAAAAAAAAAGTTGTGCCAACAACAACAAAAAACCAGCAAAGCAATATTGGAAACAATGTAAGTTGTGAATTTAAAAATGTAACCAAGATTAAAAAAGAGTATCTCAAACTTGAAGAAATTAAAAGATGCATACAGTAAAAAAATAGCAAGCAAGATAGAAAATAATGTTAGCTTAACTTTGATGATAATCAGCAAATAAATCAAGTAACAACAGCAATTCTAACAACAACAACAACACCAAACCAGGTCAATGGTAAAAAGTGTCATAACGTTTTGGGTAAAGCTTTGACAAGTCAAAATATTAAATGATATCAGGGCAAAAATTCAAAATGCAGTATGGCTTTTTCAAAAATAGATATCCAAATGTTTTATTGCATAAAAATAAAAGCTGCACAACGTAACTCAATATCATCACAAGAATCAAATTGAGTTTTGAAATCAAAAAGAAAGTTTATTGGGTGAGATGACACTACAAAAGTCTTTTCACAAGCACATTTGAGCCTTAAAAAGTTTATAAATTTCTTTGCTCTAAAATTTAGGTTGATGCCACTTCATCTACACTACAAACTATGCTTTGTATAACATATCAGTAAAAACAAACCAAGCATATCCTATCTAAAAAAATAAACTAAAAATAAACAATTATGGAATTTATGAACATGCATGCAAGATATAATTTTTAAATGCAAGATTATCTTTTTAAGGATCATTCATAAACTACATAAGGCAACTTTAAAAAAAAACAAAACAAAAAAACAATTAAAATGTGTGTATAATTGTCATTGTTATAACTAAAAGTGAAAAATTCAAGTAATCTTTGAAAAGTTGCACTAAATAACTTAAGCACACTTTCTAACCTCATAAGAGTTGCACCATATCCTTTATATACACCACGAATTCCTTTTTCTTTAATCATTTTTGTTGCAACTTGAGTCGCACTTATTTTATGCAAAGATGGTGCTGAACCTTGAAACATAAAAATTATTACTTATGTTAAAACTAAAAACTATTTGGTATTAATTTGTTTACTTATTGATGTTATGTTAAAAAAAAATTAAGAAGTACTAATTAAACATGTTTTTTGTTTTTCCACATTTGTAAAAAAATGTTTCTGAATTTAAAAGTTCCTACTTAAAAAATTTAAAGAATAAAAAGTTTTAAAATTTTTAAAAATATATGAATATGATGGACTCTAGAAAAATTATCATATTGATAATTTTTCCAGAGTCCACCTGCTGATTTTATGCATTTTTAAATGATAGTTTATGATTTTTGGCACACACATTAACAAGAAGTGATTTTGGAAAAAACATTAACAAGAAACTTAATTTCATTAAGTGAACATATTTTATATGCTCTTTGAAGAAAATCTTTAAAATTATTTATTTGGTGGAATTAAAGAATTTGGTTTAAATAATACATTAGTAATTGCTTGCTTTTGATGATTTTAAAATTTGCTATATATATATATATATATATATATATATATATATATATATATATATATATATATATATATATATATATATATATATATATATATATATATATATATATATATATATATATATATATATAAGTATTATGACTTTTTAACTATTTTCAAAAAATAATTAGTTTCCTGTGTAATAAATCAATAAAATTTAATTTCGCTCAAATTAATTCTGATTTTATTCCGATTAAATAAAATGAAAGTTTCATAATAGGTCACCCACAATAGAAAATATTAAAAATGGTATACAGATAGTATTTGCAGGCAGAACTTTTTAGAACTTTCAGGACTGTTTTGGATGTTTTTAGAAATCTCTGAAACTTTCTAGAATTTCCTGAAGTCTTCTAAAAGTTTATGGAAATTAGCAAGATTTAGAATATATAAGCTGCCTGATGCTAACAATTATGAATCTGTATTTGCTAGATGGCAGTCAAATAATATAGAAGTCAAATCAAATTAAATTTTCCACATTTATCAATTCAAGTCATATAGGCAAAGCCCGAACAAGTGCTCAAGGCATACGATAAATGTGTAAACAAAGAAAATACAAAAAATTCATTCAATGAATGAATTTTTTGAAAATGCAGTGAGGAAAAAGGGTTGTATCATCTCCAGATTGGAAACAAAGGAAAGGTCGAGTATACAACTGGGAAGGCTGCAAATTCAAAAACTATCTATCCATCTAAAGGAAAAAAAAACGTCCTTGGAGCTTACTTTAACAACAGTAACAGCAACAACGTTACTTCCAAAGTTATCTCAAGATGGGATCGACATTTAGACACCTTCACAGTCTAGTATATTCAGATCAACTATTAATTAAACTAATAAACTTACAAAAAAAAATGAAGAAAACAGTTTAGAAAACTGCCCATTTATAGCAAACATATTAGTCACATAGAATATTAAGTGTTTGTGTTGAAGAATTAACAAAGAGAAGTTAAGTTACAAGATCTACCAGACAGAGAAGCAGATACTGTTGTTAAAGGTATAACAGCTATTCTTAATGAATACAATTTATGGAAGAGTATAAAGATTTGTTGGACACAAAAAATGTAATCACTGGGAAAAAAAGTCAAATTGCCAGTCAGTTAAAAAGATGTTTTACTGAAAAGAAACAGCAAGAACCACAACTTATTGGTTGTCAACATCATGTTCTTAACTGTCCTTTGTGTAGTAATGGATGAAGAACTCAGAAAAAGCATATTGCCCAAAATCAGATAACCATTTATCCTTGAACTTGTAAAGATCTACGAACAGCTAAAGAATTTCAAGAATGGTAAAGAAGTGATTGCTGAAACACCAGGATGTGATGATATGAACTTTCTATTTCATTTAACTCAGGTATTCTACTTTTTTTTGAAGAATCTTGAGTACTTCAGAAGAAAGTTTCAGAAAATACATAAATTAAATAATGCAAGATGGAACTCCTGAGCAATTCTAGATCTTTTGGCATTCATTCTTTTACCAGAGAGAAGTCTTTTACAGATTTGACAGATAGGCAGGCGATTGGTTTACTGACCAAATGATCATCGGAAGCTGTGCAGCACCTTGCACGGTCATGAAAAAGCATTAAACTCATTGAAAAAGTTTTGAATCAGGAACCATCAAGACTAGAAATGCCCAGAATAAATCAGTATATATAATAAGCAATCGAGTGTCTTCAAGATCTTTTTGACATCTGTAAAAGAAGAAATTTGTCTAACAAGCCATAAAAAGTGTATATTATCCTTTAATAAAGCTGAGTACAAAACATTTTTTTGTTATATACAGTAGCTTTTCGCATTTGTAGAATTGTAATTTTGTAATTTTATATTTATTTGCACTTTAGAGTGTTTTAATGTAACAATAAACTGTTAAATGTTAAAAACTACATAATAACTCTCCACTTAAAAAAATTAGAACTAAAAAATAACATTCATATTTGGTAAATTTGAATTAAAATAAAAATTGATCTTCTCCATAAGCTTTGTTCTTACTATTGAATCCTTCCTTGTTAAGACTATTGAATCCTTCCTTACCAATCATAGTATAAAAGTTGTCCTTGATGGACAGCACTCTTCTTTATTTTCTGTAACTTCAGAGATTTCTCAAGGTTATAACCTTGGCACTATACTTTTTTTTAATTTAAATTAACCATCTCCCAAAAATTCTCACTTTTACTGTGACATTGTTTGCTGATGATACTACCATTTATTATTGTTTTGATAAGAAGCCAACACTCTCTTGGAAGAGACATATGAGCTTGAAAAGTATCTCACTTCTGCTACAGAAGGGGGTCTACATGGGGCTCTCAGTGGCTAGTGATATTTAACTGAGATAAAACTAAATATTCTCAGCAAATCGTTATCACAATAATCTAGATCTTCATATATTTATGAACGGTAATATAATATCTTCAAAGTTATCAGCCAATATTATCAACCAATCTTTAAAGTTATCAAGTATCACCCAGAACTCCAGATTCTATTCTTTATCTCTAATTCTATATAAATATCTAATTCGTCCTTGTATGGAATACTGTTGCCATATCTGGAGCAAATCTTTAAATGATGCCCTTTCCCTTTAAACAAGATGCATTGTAAACATAGTTAGACTTGCACTTGCAACAATGCTTCTCATTTTCTTTTCTTTAATCATGTGTTATTTGTCATTCAAACATCCTTTTAGTTTGACTGTTCCAAAGTGCTCCAAAAATTCTTTTTTATCTAGTTTTTTTCCTAGAACATCAGTTCTTTTGGATTCCCTCTCTTTTTCTTGTTTTCCTGATTCATATAATTTGCAATCTTTTAAGTCATCTGTTAATTGTTATCTTTTTTTTACCTACAGTATGGATGAAGAAGTAAAAACCTCAACTATCCATATATCTATCCTAAAATATGGGAATAGAACAAAAAGAATTCAAAAATATTATTTGAAAACTGCTAAATTTTGGCAAAATCTGCTGAGAAAATGGGAAGCAACCATTTTCAAAACAACTTTAAAGGAAATAAAACTTTCTCACTCTCTATTATCCAAACAGCATGGAAAATCATTAAAAACATCTAATGACTTTTTTTTTGGTTATTAAAGTGCTCCTAGATTACTTAACAGTTTTATCACAGAGCACAACATAAGAGTATTTAATTAGAAAGTTCATGCCTCTTTTCTTAACAATGTCATTTATCTGACAAGAATCAGCATCAAACTTTATTACTCAACCTAGCATTGAAAAGGTTTTTACTGTATTTAAACTTTTTAAGTCACACCAAAAAGAGCCATATGACTTTGGATTTTTTTGATGAATTGGTTTTGATGGGTTACAAATAACTCAAGGCTTACAAATATGCATTTTTTAAAGCTTTTATTTTAGTTTAGAAATAAAATAGTCTTTTTAAAACCAGAAAATTTAAAGAGTAGAACACTGTTTGCCTTCTCCTTCAGTCTTAAAAAATATTTTTCTTTTTAAATATAATTTTAGTAGTTTTAAATTGGACACAATAACTAGGAGCTAAGCCTGAGCCATACATTTTTGAAATAATGGTTTTTTTTTTCTAACTAAAGTTTGAAAGTTAATTCAATGTTAATAACTTTATATAAATTGAATTTTTTTAAAATGAGCTTTTGATAGGTGGGAAAAACATTGTTTGATATAATAAGAATTTTTATATATCATTAAACTATTTAATTTTGCTTTAAATTGTTTAACAATCTCAAAAGTTTGAGATCATTAAACATTTAATGCATAATTTTAATCCAGTTGCTTTCTTTTTGTTGGGTTCAAAAAAATATTTACTTCATATAAAAGCTTTTATAGCAAACAGTTTATTTGTCTAGCTTGAGTTACAACTAGTGTCTGGTCACACACACTACAAAGCAATACTAAAAAATAACAGTGAAATTTTTTTTAGTAATTTCAGTGGTCGAGTGAACTAGCCCTAAACTGCTGGAGAATTGTAATGCTGCACTGCTGTATATAAAACAAGAAACAAATTTAGTTGTGTGTAAAACACCACTGAAAATGTCATACTAAAATAACCATCTCTAGGGCTTTCAGCAGATACATTGATTGAGAGTTGAGGCATATGCAATATATAAAGGATTTTTTTTCTCATCTCAATGGCATTAATCCAGGAAAATTCTGTAGAAGACAAAGAATTACAACTTTAAAAAGTGATACAATATAAACTCTTATTTAACTGCCTTTTAGATAAATGTTAGTGTCCATACAAGTTCAAAGCAGTCTTACCAAGGATTTTGATCTTTGATTGTATCGTGCTGCATTACAGCCACGTTTTTCTCAAAAAAGAATTCAAGATTGAATGATTCTTTGAAAAGAGTACAAGGAATTGACTGTTAAAATGTGGCAACATGTCATGTTCTCAGACGAAGCACAAGTCAAGCAATTTGCAGCACATAAAGCTGATGCTCATCAGTCACTAAGCTCATAATTTAATCCCAGGCATGCAGCACCTTCTGTCCTAAAGCAATGTCAAACAATTATAATTTGGGGTATAATGACAACAACCTTTTTTTTTTCATCATAGTCATGATAAATAGGTGAGATTGTAAATAAGCATTGATATTAAATTTTCTTGAACAAAATGTCTTTACTTAGATAAATTAGCATTTTTTTGTTTTTGTTTTTTATTCTTTTAAATAATTTAATTTAGTTGTTAATGTGACACTTCCAAAATAGGTTGTCTATTTATTGATATTCCAAAAAAATTGACAAATATTTTGGAAAATTTTCTATTTAAGTTAATTCAAAATAGTAAATTTATAATTTATCACTTAAAATTACAAAATAGTAAATTTATAATTTATCATTATTATGCAGGGTTGCCACTATAACTTTTAAAGTTTTTCCCTGAGTATTCCCTGAGTAAAAAACATTTTTCCCTGAGTTGAACCCTTAAAGTTCCCTGAGTTTTCCCTGACTTTTTTATTTTCCTTTCTGTTCATCAACAAGATTATTATTTTCCTTAATTAAACACAATCTTTATATTTGACAAACTAAAACTTTTAGAACAACACCCACATCTTGCAAACTTATTATTATATGTATTAGCAAAATATTTTTGAAAAAAAAAAATTATTGTACAATTTAAAAAAAAAAAAAAATTATTTTCCCTGAGTTTTTGCTGAATTTTATGAAAATTTTAAAAAAATCCCTGAGTTTTCCTCGGATTCATGCTATTTTCATCCAAGTTTTCCAGGTTGAGTGGCAACCCTGTTATGTTTCATTGGGATAGCTGTGTTAAAAGCAACTTAATCCAGGAGAAGAAAAATTCTAATATAAAAATTCCAATTTGTGGGTAAAGTTAGGAGCTCATAAACTTTGATGATAATCCTACTAGTGATAGTATCACAATAAAAGTACTGTTCTGATCTACAAAACAGGTCAACGCTAGGAAAAGCATTTGGTTATAAAAAAATAACTTAAATCTTTTAGAATGTTATATTAAATAAGAAAATGATATTATAGAAACACATCCAAACTGCACAAATGTAGACGAATTGAAATGTGAACTTTATTCATCAAATAACAAAAACATTATTGATAAAAATTTTTGAAAAAAGTGCAATGGAAAAAAATTTCCATCCTATCATTTCTTACTCACATTTGTAATAATTGTATACATAGAAGTGGGCCTAAATCTGGACAAAAAAAAAACTTTTAAAACACTTATCAGATTTTCCTATAATTGCAAGATTTAGTTTATTTCCTACTACAAATCTAATGATACTATTAGATTGTTTATTTGGTTGCTATGGATACCTTTATTCCATAGCAACCAAATAAATTTTTTTGAACTTTCAATTTAAAATTTTTTTGAAAAATGAAATAAAAAACTTTGAAAAAAATCTTAAATCTAAGGATTTATAGGATTTAATTACATTGATGTAACTTGACTGTCCTTAGCAACCAAATAAAAATTAACAAGATTTTATAGATTTTTATCTGCATTAAGGTCATTCAATTTTGTTAGATTGCATCCACAAACTGAAACAACATTAAGAAGATCTAGATGTTGTAGATTATGTTGTAGCAACTTTGCAGCCCACCATTTTTTTTTTTTTTTTCAGTTTTATGAAGTATTGTTAAGTTTTCACAAATTTTCTTGACAATAAAATTTTAATCGAATTGTTAATAAACTGATTCTCTTGTTTCAAAACTTCATTATTTTAAAACGAGAATCTTATTGGTCCGCAATATAGAGTTTATAATGGATATGGAGAATCTTATTGGTCCACAATATAGAGTTGATGATGGATATGGAGTAGACTCAAGAATTTTTTTTTTTTGTCAATTATGTAAAGTGGAACAGAACAAGAAATAAATAAACTAGCTTCTTTTAAAAGATTTTTGCTTTCTTTCTCAGCTGTTAGCTGAGTATAAATGCTTTGGCTAGTTGATCCATCAAGCCCATTTTTAGAATTTAATGTTAGTTTTTTAAGATCATTCATGGAATCGATAACTTGTTTCTAAGACTGTATTAAGCGTATTGCTCTACAATCAACAAATCCTTGAAAGTTTATTTCTGCAGAAAGTTCATTAACAGACAATAGTTTTTGTTCAGGAAGACATTGTTCTTAAGCAGCATGAACTTTATTGTATGCAGGATAGAGATTGTAACTTTTGCTCACAGCATCATTTCTCAAATGTTGGTAATTAGATTTGCTCATATAAATATCTAATGAGCTTAGGAAATCATGTTCAAAGCATGTTTTCAAACTTTTTCTTTTAAACTTTACTTGAAAGGATTTTTTATTAAGAATTTATTTTTTTAATTAAATTCAAATATTTTTGAGGTTCACAATATATCTAGTTTTAAAAAAATCTGTTTTCAGACATGGATTGTTTTATTTTTGTCCATCTAGTGTACATTGGTGCTAGTGTTGACCTGTTTAGTAGATCAGAACAGTGCTTTTATTGTGATACTATCACTAAAAGGAATATCAACTAAGCTTATGAGCTCCTTCTTTATCCACATACCACTGTGCATTGGTGTATTTTTATATAATGAGCATTATAAAGTTTTGTTAAAATATTATAAAAAACACAAGTAAACTTACTTCCCCCTGCAATTTGCATTTGAATTTTAAGAAACTCCATTGGTGTAGTTATGACAACCTAAAACCAATTAATTTCAGTTAAATCTAAAACTACTTTTATTTTGCTAAAATGCATAATAAAAATATTTAAAGCAATGTGTAAAATATAATAAATACTTGACAAAAGCCTGCAAATCCTCCAGCCAACATTTCATAATGCAATGGCAAAAATCCTCTAGATTAAAAAAGAACTGCAATTAAAACCATCCATTTTGTTAAAAAACTTATATAAAAACTAAAAAGTCTTGCAAAAAACAAAATAATCAAATACATTTATAAAAGTTAAAAAAAAAAAATTACCCATGACTTGATCCCAAATACTGTCTAGCTTGATCGTTAACAGCAAGCTTGATAGCTTTTTCAGGATTAACAAGCAACAAATTTACAAGAAGCCCTATACAATTTTTTAAATAAACTTATAAAAATAAAAAATAAAATTAAAAAGATTAGAATTTGAAGAAAAGATTTGTTTGTTTAACACAAAAAATAGCTAACTAATTAATAACTTTTAGAAAAACAAACATTAATTTAATCATATATTTAACTATATATAACATTTAAGTTACATATTTTCAAAAACATTAAACTATTTTTTTTTGTAAAAAATGTATGTGTAATATGTTAAAATTATAAATTAAATCATGAAATGTTATAACTTAAAGCATTTCACACTATGATAAAATATAACATTTTCAAAAATTTACAATACCTTTGTACAAGCCTCTAAATCCTTCAACTTGTGCAACTTTATACATACAATGAAAACTAAAAAATACAAAAATATTTTGAATGACACCAACTTTTTTTTACAATTTTTGTTTATAAGTTTTTTATAAAATTTATAAAAGACAATATGAAATATACTTTTTTAAATATAATGCTAGAATTAGATTTTCAAACCATACACGTTGTTATATTGTTTTACAACTTTCTCTCCTACTTTTGATACTGTTCGTTGATTTTGAAGTCTTGTTTTTGCAAGATCAAGTGGGAAAACACAACACGTGCCAATCATTCCAGCAATCGCTCCATTTACTAACTTTGCAGTAAAGCTTAAAAATTATAATCAAAAAATTCAAAAAAAAATTGTAACGAATTTTAAATAATTAAAAAAAAATCGCTAATACATAAATACAGAATTAAGGAAGCAAATTTACCTTGGTTTTCTCTCAGTCATTTTTTTTAGATTCTACACAATGTATTAATTGAATTCTTATTTAGGTATAATTTAATAATTACTAAGTTTAGTAAACCTAAATAAACTGTAGACAAAATGTTTGTATATACAAAATAGATGTCACATACGGAGTGGATCTCTAAATAAAATACATGACACAATTTACTATTTATTTTCTTTAACTAAAATAAAGCCAAAGACTTTACGATAGCAACAGCTTTTAATTTTTTTAATACAGATGAAAATAAATTTTTTTATTTCCTTATCTCTTTAAATAATGAAAATAAGTTGCCATTAGATACATAAGTCAATCACCAAAAAAAAAACTTTTTTTTTAGGTGTCCCTGAGAAAATTCTAAATTTAACGACTACTATTGAGTCTGCTTTTCGTGTGAATTGAATGGGTATTATTTACTTATTTATATCGCAGTTTTTAAAAAATGCTTTGACGTCCGTTAGAAATAGCATGCTTTTTGAATATAAAAATATATAAGACTATTAAGAATAAGTTCATATTTCCAAATTTTATTTATTAAAAAAAAGTTGTAAAATAATACTTGAAAATTAAATTTTGTTCCAGTTATGAATCTATAGTTTATGAATCGAATATTTTACTTAAAGTCTAAATTATAGTCAACACGTGATTTTTTTAAACAATTCCATGAAACATTTGAAGATTAAACGATAATTTTTAAACGATAGATGAAATATTAAAAATTTTTAAATCATATATTTAACTTTGAAAAAAATGTTTAAACTTTTGCTTGAACTTTCCTCCTCTATTGTAAAATCTTAGATTTAGACATTGAATTCTATGACGAAAACATGATTTCGCTTTAAATTAATTTAGACACTTTTAATTGCGATTCTACAAATAAAATAAAGATGGTGAGTTCTAAAAAAGTACCGACTGGTTCCTAAATAATAAAAAAGGTTCCAAAAACTAAAATTCAACAAACTAAATTGTTTCAAAAACCCGACTATATTCGTCAAAAAACCAACTATAACTTGAAAATCACCTTCTTAGGGAGAGGGAGGTGGATCACCCCCGAAATTTCCCCTTATAATAATCTTCAATGATGACTCAAGTTAATACAAAAAATTGGAATGTTTTGTCTGATGCTTCTTTCTGGAATGTACCAGTTCTAAATCGATTTCGGGTTGAAATTATCAAAAGAAGAAGCTGTTTTTTTCAGAATAAGGGTGCTCTTTTCAATGCTTTGACGAGGCACTGAATTGCCTTTTCAAAGCACTTGTCTTTGTTTCCTTTAATGATTATAGGTTTTCCATTTCATGAAAATAAATCTTCATTAAACAAAGAAATTTTTATTGAGATAGTTAAGATGTTTTTTAAATATGACTGAAAGTTCTGAAAGTGCTGAAAGTTCAGGTACAGCAAAAGTATTTGTGTTTTAAATATGACACTGTGCTGAAAGTTCAGGTACAGCAAAAGTATTTGTGTTTTAACTTTTATCAGATAAATTTATAAATGTCCTTACTAATCACGTGAAGGAGATTCTTTTCAATGAATTTAAAGCTGCGATGTATTTTGGAATTCTGTTTGATAGCACGCTTGACATATCAGACGCTGAACTGTATGAGATGATAATATTTGTAAAAATCTACAATGTGAAAGTTGAAGTGAGAGAAGTGTTTCAGGATTTTTCCTTTTAAATCCTAATCAAATACAGTTAATAAATCCAAAGTATTTATTAACTGTATTTGATTAGGATATGTATTTGTGTTTAAGTGTTTGTGATAAGCGCATGTGAATAAGTGGTGTGTGTATATCTTATACAGCTGATTTAGGTGGGAGGTGTGACGTCATACTGAAAAAGCCTGATGCTGGGGGCTACAGTACATACATCGACTGACAAATAGCCTGGCTCGCAGTGGAGTGCTGACTCGCAGTGGAGTGGTTTTGGAATGGGTCAGCAACCTTTTCTTTTATTATTTATTGTTTTCCCTCTTCGTTTTCTAAAAAACCTTTATTGATTTAGATGAGCAAAAAAAGTGAGCAAGTGCGCATATAAATAAGCTATAGTAGATATTCAGTGTTGGCGAAAAGTATTGCAACTTTTCTAAGTTTAACATTTTTATAAAATTCGAAATGAATTTGATGTTTATATATATGTTTATACAAAAATGATAAAACCAAACAGCAGCACACTATGTAAACATAAAATTATGACGTCATTATTGTTAAACGTGCTGCGTTATAGATTTTTATTACGAAACCATACTTGGGAATAGCATAGAAAATTTTCATTTTTTTCGCTTTTTGAGAAGTATAGTTTAATCATAAGGGGTCTGGCAAAGGAGATTTCACCAAGAAAACGTGCGATTATTATTCAATATTCGAAGGATGATATGAAGTAGCGAGATATTTCTAAGAAATTGTGTTCAAGTCTTCAGTTAGTCGAATAATTAAGAAATACAAAGCTTCCGGGTCAGCATCACCACTGAAACATTCTGGACAACCCAGAGTAACAACAACACGCGATGACTCTCTACTCCGACGTTCTGCAGTCAGAAATCCGACTTATTCAAGTTTTCAAATAAAACTAGACACTAGTTGCGGTGCGAGTACACGAACAATACGTGACCGACTGTGTTCGTTTGGTTTAAGAGCTCGACGTCCATCCCGCAAACCTCTGCTATCTAAGCAGCAGCGGCAGAAAAGAGTTCAGTTTTGTAATAAATATAAGGACTGGAATGCAAAAAAATGGTCCAAGGTGTTGTTTTCCGACGAGTCTACATTTCTGCAGTTTGGATCTGTCACGCAGTATATACGTAGACCAGTTGGATCTCGAGATGATATTCGTTACACCTTGCCGACAGTTAAACATTCATCCCAAATTATGGTTTAGGGATGTTTTTCAGCAATAGGGCGAGGGTCTCTAGACTTTACACCAGCGAAACAGATGGTAAACTCCGTTGAATACCTAAAGGTTTTAAACTCAAAACTACCCCTAGCCATGGGCTTGCATTGTTGTGAACTGTTTCAACAAGACTTGGCACCATGCCATACCAGTCGAGTTGTAAAAAAGTGGCTAACTGACAATGGGATTCAAGTTCTGGACTGGCCAGGCAACAGTCCATATTTGAATACCATTGAAAATTTCTGGACAATGATGAAAAGGAAAGTAAGAAAATATTACAGTAAAAGCATTGAAGAACTCATTTACAAAATTAAGAAGGTGTGGTGCACCGAAATCACCCCGGATCTTTGTCAAAAACTGGTTCAGTTGATGCCAAACCGTATCAAATGTGTATTGAAAAACCATGGACAGCCTTCTAAGTACTAGATATTTATATATGAACACTTCTTTTAATAATACTCTTGTGTATTTGTTTAATGTGTGTTTTTTTTTTCAAAGTTGCAATAATTTTTGCCAACACTATATATATATATATATATATATATATATATATATATATATATATATATATATATATATATATATATATATATATATATATATATATATATATATATATATATATATATATGTGTGTGTGTGTGTGTGTGTGTGTGTGTGTGTGTGTGTGTGTGTGTGTGTATGCGAATATGTGTTGGTGTATATAATATATACATATATAATATTATTAAATATGTGCATATGTATTTATGTTTGTATATGTGTATTTATGTATGTATTTATGTATGTGTGTATGTATATGTATGTGTGTATATACGTATATTTGTGTACAGTATATATGAATCTTCATATATGGGTGTATGTTATGTTTATATACAATTAATGTATACATACCTGTATTGAATACAGGGAGATATAAGTATATGTATTTATATGTATTTGTGAACATAAGTGTGTAGGTGTGTTTGTATGTGTGTACTTGTATGTGTCTGTATATGTGTATATGTGTGTGACTAATACTAAAATACTATCATTTTTTTAATGGTTATTGTAATTATTTTTATTTCTGTCATTTTATTTTTATTAGTGCTGGGCAACGATTAAATATTTTAATCGCGATTAATCGCATGATTTTTTGCGATTAATCGCAATTAATCGCAGAAATACGAAAAATTCAATAATAAAACCACAAGTAGTATATATATAGCGTAAATTTATTTTTTCATGGTTAAACTAACATAATTTTTAGTTTGTCAAAACTTTAAACAATTTTATCCATTCTTCCAACTTTACTTACTCATCTGCACCAAGCCAGTTACTAAGACAAACAAGGTAATTCACATTTTCAGATGATAAAGAAACTCTCTTCTTTTGTACAATATGACCAGCAAGAGAAAACAATCTTTCACAAGGAACAGATGTTGCAGGTGTTGCCAAGTACTTCTGTGCAATTGAGGCCAGTCTGTTGTGTGAGCCTGCATGTTTGGACCACCACTGTAATGGACAGGCCTCTGTACTGATGGTGGGCTCTGCTTTGTACCGACGCACACCGTTTTCAATTGAGTCTTCCTCTTGTTCAGAATCAGACTCTGATGAAGCAACCAATAGAGCAAATTTTCTCTTTGATGGCTTTGATGTTGCTGCTTCCACAGGTTCATCTGCAATAACCCTCTGTTCCTTGAGTAAGTTAGTGATTGAGACCCACACCTCACCTCTCTCAACTCTGGGTATACACTTGAGGTCTTTGAATCTCGGGTCCAATGCGGTTGCAATCTTTAGATATGCAATGTTGGCATTTTCCTTGCGTGTTTCCAGATCTATTCTGAACATAGATTTGAATTTGACTACATAGGCCGGGTCATCATCTGAGCTCTCCATCACCCGAGAGAGATGGCATAAAGCAGGCAGAACCACAGAGCATGAAACGTACTTTTCTCCACCCAGAAGTTCAGTCACATACCTGCAAAAAATAAAACCCATTTCACTCAAATGTTTTGCATTCACTTATACACACAAAAAGTGTTCTCATGTTCATGCTTACGCACAAATACAGACACATCAATTCTCTCACATGCAATCAAACCAGTCAGTAAGAAATATATGATGTAAAATATACCTGCAGGGTTCTAGGAGCTTTTCCGACCTCTGCAATTTGTCCATTTCAGCTGGAGTTGGCATAGCAACTTTTGTGTTGTGTGTGGTGAGGACATCGCTCAGTGGCTGTTTGTTTCTGCGAACACTTTTTATCATGTCCAGAGTCGAGTTCCATCTGGTTGGAATGTCTTGTATAAGCGACTCC